ATTTTTTCAATGTATTATTATAGCGATTTTTCACTTACGGTCTCTTTTCTTTATGGTGCTTCTGTGTACGTCACCGCTTCAGGAAAGCATTTCCGACCCCAAATTGCTATATGATTTCGAGTCGTCAGGATGCCCCCTACCCCTCTTAGAAGTACTGAAACGCTTAACTGAGACACCCTGTATATATTAACTTTACTTTTACTCATTTTGGGTGGCGTTCTTTGTTTCCAAATGTTTTAATTCTCATTGATTTTTCAGGTTTCTCTTTTTTGTAACCGGCTGATTGGGAATTTAAGCACAACTTAGTGTTTATTTACTGCGCTTTAAGCAGAAGTAGGTAACAGTTTGGTAATTTTTTATTTAAATTTTTATTAAATTTATTTCATTTTATTATGCACGTTATATATTCTCGATCGCATAGGAAAAAAGTCCAACATAATCTGGAGATTTCCTTTTTTTTCCTTATAATATTCGTAATTAATTGGTAATATAATTAATCAGTAGTATCATAAGTAATATTGTTGAACAAATTATTTATTCCAATTGTAAATTAATCCTTTAGTTTAAAAATTAATCCTTTAGTTTAAAAACTAATTGTTATTTAATGTAGAGCAATTATAGTTTGGAAGGTGAATTAATAATTTTTTGTCAGTTGTATATTAAAACTTGGTTTTATCCGACGTGGACCGACCGGGCATGCATATATATATAAATATAAAAGTTTCACTTTTTAGATAGCAATTTTTATACTAGCTTTTTCTCTCAAAATGCGTGATTTTTCAATGCAAAATTGAAACGCGTAAAAATTTATTTACCATAAAACTAGAGTAATTTTTTTAACAATCAATTATTGCTTGCATCAGAATTTTTTTACTTCTTTTTTAAACTAAAAATAGAAGTCTTAAAAAAAATTTCAAATTCGTTGGGAAATGGCGATAAACTGTCTTTAAATAAAAAATAGAAAAAAATACTTAATAAAAAAAAATTATTTAAAAAAAAATAAATAAAAACTGAACATCCGTTTTCCGGTAAGCATCTTTCTTAATCAAACATCAATAAGAGCTCTAAATTTTCGCACACTTTTTCGCCAAGAGCAGTCATATCTCGCAAAAAGTGGTAGGTAAATAAGGCTGAGAACGAGATGGATTTTAAACAGTTACGTTTTAAGAGCCTTTTTATCTGGTTGTAAATTAAATGGATGGACATTTAATTGTCTACTTTGATGTCACAGTTAACAAATTCAATTAAAATAGTGATTATTATTTTAATTTTTGTCCTTTCTTGGGGATGGGGGAGAGGGATAAGCAACTTCAGTTTCAAATTTGCAGCGTTTATTAACATTAACTGCTAAACAATCTAATATGAAATTCTGACATTAATTTATCAAAAACGCTCTGGAAAAATAATCGCGAGATTAAAAAAGTTTCATATATTTTTATTAACAACAATTAAAATTTATTAAAATACGTTTCTCAAGTGGGCTTAATAAGATACAATGTTATTTCTCTTAGCCCTAGAACAAAAAATGTCGCTCCACATTGGTTAAGACTTGATACCCATTTTAGGTCAGACAAAAATTAAAACATTTTAAAAAGTAGTTTTTAAAATTTTATTTGTTTTGCGTCTGTAAGTTTCTTTGGGTTCCTACTTAAACTTCGATAAATCAGGAGGTGATAATATCGCCATTAATTTTATTCGCATTTTTTAAAAAACAATAGTAAATTGGATTAGCATCAGGCACTAATTAGAAATTTGAGCACAATAGCTTGTTGGAGGCGGAGAGAAATTTCGAAGGACATTAAGTTCCTTTAGACGTTGAAATAGCTAATTAAAACCTCTTTAGAACTGTTCAAAAGCCCATTGACACTTGTATTGCCATTCAACACAGAACTCCATTTAATATTTAAACGCAGCAGCTAGACAAAAAGTGGTAAAAATATTTAGTAACGATAAATTTCAAAAACGATAATCGAGACTAATTCTACTTGTGGTTGTCAGGAAAAAATTCATATAAGGTTCTCAGACACACAGTTGAAATTAGAGTATGTAAGTTATTCGAAAGTTGTCTAACAAAATATTTTAATTGGGGATAAAAGTCTTCCTTTAGCTATATTACCAATGAAATTTTCATTACCACTAGGCATAGTGTTGAAAAAAGAGATTTTAGTTGGAAAGTGGTCAAAATTCAACGGATATAAATACTTCATTAAATATGAATAGTATAATAAATGAAAAAGTAGTTTTTACCATTAGCATCTAAGTTAATAGTGGTAATTATAATATATTTTAGAATATTTGTAAAAAATAAAGTAAGTCAAAACATAAAATTAAGACACAGGAATGATCGCCGTATGAAAACTTTAAAATAAAAAACAATAACGATTTAGTGAAAAACCAAGTTAAGTTAAATCAGTATACTAACAAAAAACTTTTGACAAAAAATATTCTCTTTCTGTGGTATCCTTAGGATAGAATCACTTAGAATCTAAAATTTTTGTCTTATGTTTGAAAAAAAAAATTCTCGTACATACTTTTTTAATTTTTTTCTGTCTTTCAAATTTTATATACTATCATTTAATTATCATGTTTTATATACAACACATTTGTTTCGATTAAGAAAATTTTTCACTTAAGGGCCCCGATCATATTTTTAATTCTAATTTCAAGGTCTAATTTCAAATTCTAAATTCAAATTCTAAATTCTAATTCTAAATTCAAATTCTAAATTCAAATTCTAAATTCAAATTCTAAATTCAAATTCTAAATTCAAATTCTAAATTCAAATTCTAAATTCAAATTCTAAATTCAAATTCTAAATTCAAATTCTAAATTCAAATTCTAAATTCAAATTCTAAATTCAAATTCTAAATTCAAATTCTAAATTCAAATTCTAAATTCAAATTCTAAATTCAAATTCTAAATTCAAATTCTAAATTCAAATTCTAAATTCAAATTCTAAATTCAAATTCTAAATTCAAATTCTAAATTCAAATTCTAAATTCAAATTCTAAATTCAAATTCTAAATTCAAATTCTAAATTCAAATTCTAAATTCAAATTCTAAATTCAAATTCTAAATTCAAATTCTAAATTCAAATTCTAAATTCAAATTCTAAATTCAAATTCTAAATTCAAATTCTAAATTCAAATTCTAAATTCAAATTCTAAATTCAAATTCTAAATTCAAATTCTAAATTCAAATTCTAAATTCAAATTCTAAATTCAAATTCTAAATTCAAATTCTAAATTCAAATTCTAAATTCAAATTCTAAATTCAAATTCTAAATTCAAATTCTAAATTCAAATTCTAAATTCAAATTCTAAATTCAAATTCTAAATTCAAATTCTAAATTCAAATTCTAAATTCAAATTCTAAATTCAAATTCTAAATTCAAATTCTAAATTCAAATTCTAAATTCAAATTCTAAATTCAAATTCTAAATTCAAATTCTAAATTCAAATTCTAAATTCAAATTCTAAATTCTTCAAATTTTAACTATTTAAAAAATTTTTAAATATATCTTATTTTTTAATTATCTAATATTGTTTTTAGAAGTTTATCTTTAAACATAAGGATATTATTCGCTACTTTTCTCATTTCGTCATTATTACAAAAGAAAACGGTTTTTGAATTATCACTACTGCACAATTCTAAAAAATTAAAATTATTTGATTTTTTTTTTCAAAAGAAAAGTTACAATTTCTAGTTTTATGGTATATTCTTCAAAATATAAAAGAATTCCATTCTATTCATTTCTAAGTAGAATAAGTTCCTTAAGAAACGCTACGATGTCTGCATAACTGAAAATAATTTCAAATACAAACTCTTTTTGTTTTAACCGATCGAATCTGTTGTTTGATTAAGTTGTGAGTGCTATCTGATCAAATTTTTCCCTTGTGATTTTTATTAATTATTATTATTTTCCGTCTCTCATTCCTTTTAAAATATTAAAATCGAAACTTATGCAGACGATCAAAGTCAAAAAAAAAATAATAACATAGTCCAAAAATGGGGTTACCAGAGAAGGAGTGAAAGATGGAGCTATTGTTAATTGACGAAATCTGATTGCCCTTAAGAGCGCTAAATGATGTCTGATTTAGAAAGGTGCCCCCCCCCCCCGTAGTTACCCGGTCTGAGGAGTTGAAACAGATGCTTATAATGTTTCTGCAAAAAGATTGATTTTTTAATTATACTTATTTTTAATTTTAGGTGTTTGAAACAATAGCTGTGGAGGCAGGTGGAATATAACAATTGTTATTATAGTTAGAAGCAGGTGGAATATAACAATTGTTACTGCTGAAGTATAGTTGGAGGAAAATAATCAATTCTTTCAAACCGTGAAGCTTTATTCTAGAGGGTCATGTTTTCTCGCAAAATAATGCGTTATTATGAGTTAAGATCAGAACCCAAATAGAGCATTTCAGATTATAAATATATTGAGATAATTGTCTTAAATATAAGTCTAAAATTTATGCTATAAAAAAATATAACTTTATCTACTCGGTATATTAGACAATAAAGAGTTTTATTAAACAATGAAGAGTTTTTAATAGTTATGTTTCAGTTAATTCAACACAATAAATTAATTCATGAAGTTTGTTCGGGTGATTTTAGAAAATTGGCAGCTCTGTTTGTTCCAAAAAACAAAATGGCTCTTGCTCTTAAAATTAAAATTTAGTTATTTTTGGACGTGAAGGCGTTTTTTTTTGTTATGCTGTCTTTTCGAAAATGTCTATCAATCACAAAAACTTTCGTGACCTTTCGTAAATTTTCACGAAAATTGTCGTAAAGATCAAGTGAGAGTTTTTAAAAGTTTTTTAAGAAACTTTACTACAAATTTTTTCAATTTGTAGTTCAACTGAAATTTCCTAAATTCGGAAATTCGAAGGAGTTGATACGCATTTAGCGACTAATATGGTTTAAAATCTAACAATTATATGTTACAAAAACAAAAATAGATTTTATTATTAATACATTTTAAAAGATACGAATGTCTTTCGTATACCAGGAAAAATATTTTCTTAACCTAGGAGAATTCCGTAGTAGTTGGAGAGCAAGCACTAAGAAACTAATTTAATTAAAAATATAACATTTACGTGATTTAAGAAACAAAAATAGATTTTATTATTATTAATGTAATTTAACGGACTTGAATGTCTTTCTCATCCAAAATAAAAACAATGGAGTTACCTATCTTTATTAGAAAAAAAAAAGAACAGATTCCAAAAATGAAACATTGGCAGTTAAATTGGTAGTTTTTTTTTTTATTTCTGCGAGCCGGAAACGCCAATTCGTATTAGTATAGTGGAGGATATTGTTACTGATTCCATGCTACTCATAATGCTTATATGGTATGTATGGGGGATCTTTTTCATAATTTCTACCAAATAATCCTACTTTTAACAATGGTTCATTAGAATCTGCTTTAAATGTCAGTGTTGTTTCATAATCATCGGTCGAATAGTTCCATAGCTGTTTGGGAGCCAGGCGGAACCTGTTCAAAGACACTGTCGCAAATATTTTCTGAGATTCGAATCGTGCTTTCATTTCTACATTTCTGAAAACAGTCGTAGACGAGGACGGTTGTATAACACAAGCTTTATCTTCATAAGGATCGCATCTTATAAGCAGACAAGTTTGTTCTTGAAAATAGAAGTAGTTCCTAACATCATTTGCACCAGAAAAAGATGTTAAATAGAAATTTTCATTCATACTTTCAGCTGAATATTTAAGATGGCAGCAAAAGCCTTGATGGCATGATTCTATTTCGCCAAAAGGAGATTCCAGTTTGATTCTGGAGTGCCTTTCGATGTGGGACTTGTAACATCTATAATCTGTATAAACATTTTTAAATGGCCCTGCCTTTGGGTAATAACAATATTCTGGAAAGTTGATTCCTTCTTCATTTTGTCTTTCAAATACACCATCTTCAGTGACAGTAGCAATCGAACTTAACCGTGGAATGTCTTTTTTGTCATTGATTCTTATATTTGCCATCAAAAGTTTTGAATGGCCATCCGGATCGTAAGTGTATACTAACGCACCGGTGTCTTTCGAATAAATTCCACTTCCAAGTGATCCAGTACCTGGTTTGTGAACATTAGCTGCAATAAAATTCACCCCATTTGCAAGAGCCCATGCTTGTTGGAATTCAACAGCGTTGAAAGGTAAAATATCATCGTACCAAAACGTCGGAAACAAAAGCGTGTCAATTCCATGATCTCTTGCTAATAAAACTGATTCTTCAAACACAGCATCGAAACAAATTTGTAGTCCAAAAGTTCCGAAATCGGTTTTGAAAGTTATAAACTCCATCTCTTCGGCGGCGTTCACGTGTTCGAAATAAGTATGCGTTTTGTGATATCGGGCAACTAAACTCCCTTCTCTATCGAATGCCACGTTTGTATTGTAGATTCTCACTCCATCTTTTGGGCAATTTGTGCACTCGTCAATACGATTTGCATCACAGGTATCCGAACATGTCTGAATGTTGCCGAAATTGGCCACAATGTAAATATTGTATTCCCTAGCATAGCAGCTAAGAGATGATAGAATAAATGTATGGTACTCTTTATCGAGACAAGGATTATACTTTCGTTTCCTTGGATCAGGTATGTTCTCCGCAAATTCCTTAAGCCTGTCTTTATTGGTTACATGCTGATAAAGGCCATATTCGTTGAATACTATAATATCCGCTCCCTGTAAAAAAAATATTCAATAAATAATTCAAGATTCATCATGAATTCTTAGCAGATTTATAAAATTCGATTTTGTTTCAATCGAAACTATTTATATTAATCCATCATAATTTTAAAACAGAAACTATATAATAAAATTTTCAGGTGATTGCACAGTGATGGAACAAATTTTAAAAAAGTGTTAGAATGTGACGAAACAATCACTTTTCGCCATAAAATGTTGGATCAAAGTTTCAAAAATTTCTTTTTTTAAATTTTAACTTTCCACTTGTCATTAAATATTTCAGACTATATGAAAGAGGATATATTGTTTTAAACAGAATCCATGTCTTTTTTTGTCCTGCGGGACAACAGTGCATAAATAACAGAAACAAAAAAACAATGCATCATTTTCTCTATCGCATCTTTAAAATTACTTCTGTGTCCCGCAGTGGACTAATCGCTACGGTCACTGGCTGCGGTCAGTGTGCGGGTGGGTGACCACTTGGATCAGTCTGCGTAGGGACCGAGGATGTGCGGTATTGGTCTCGGTAAATTGTTCTACTGTATAGTGTTCGACTTCACGTGCAAGTCGTCGGGCTACCAAAGCGGGGGTGCCATCCCCTTTGCAGAGGATCAAAACTGTGATGGCATGTCTTCGGATCATCCTCAGGGATGTCTCCCAGACCGTCGCCATAAGCCCATTATGCGGCTCAATACTACAACAACAAGAAATGTTTTTTCTTTTTTTAATTTAATTTAATTTGAATTTCCAATCATTAAAATGGAATATCAAGTTAAGAAAAAAAAAAAGCATTTTCGTTCCCTCTTCCTTATTGCTTTTTGATCAAGGTAATAGGACTACAAAAGCTGATCGTGACATTTGTGGTTGTTTGTTGCTTCCATTTCCTACTTGCCAAACCAGCAAGCCTGCTTGAGAAACCAAGCGAGTTTAAGGCAGAGGGTGCGTTTCTTGTTTCTCAGTGGCGCCATCCATGGTCAAGAATACGACTTTAGTCACAAATACACGTCCCAGCTCGTTTTACAGGGTGGACCAATTCACGATCGTAATTTTGATATGAACCAGAGAACGATCAGTCTCCAATTCAGTACATTTGTATTGTGTATAAAGCAGGGGTCTTATAGCAGAAAGAAGCACTCGTGATTGGCATATCAAGTTTACAAATAGATATTTTGACCCAAAAAACGTACTTTTTCTGACTTTCCAGTTGAACTTGCTGAAGAGCGATTAAACCAACTTTTGCACAGAATTTTGGGTCAAACGTCAGCTGATAGTGAAAATGGAATGCTTCCATACTTTAAACTTTTGACATTTTTAGAAGAAAATAGCGAGAACTTAACTCCTGACCCAATGCAATGGAATTGTATTTGTGCTAAGGAAATACATAATGAATGGAACGCAAATACAATTGTTATTTCGCAATATTCAATCATTCTTCAAAGTTTCTTCGATGTAGAATCAACCTGGCGAATCATATGAGTGTAAAATCGTATAATATATGCTGAATTATGTTAACGCGAAAGAAATGCTTGATCCTGTCCCATTGCTTTATCCAGGAGTTCCCTTGTCTTCTCGGTTGGTTACATAATTAAGAAGTTACGGAGTAGAACATTGAAAGTCGTAAACTCAGAATTGGATCGGCTGCTTAACGCCATTTATTAAATAGTTATATGTAGAACAGTAATATTAAATACTCGTGCATATGTTTGGAAGAAAGCGTTTAATTTTATCAATGAAGAATAGATTTCTAAATTAATAGATTGCTATTGTTAATAGCCCGTAAATTGCTCCTAAATTTCCTATTACTGTAAGATTACGTAATTCAATGACTATTATTAGTAAATTTTTCAACCAAATTGAAAAAGAAATTTTATATTACATTGATATACATACATAATTTGATTATTTTTCCCGACCTTTCCAATCAAGATTGTATGTTATTTGTCTTCTTCTCGTCACCAGTATTAAATAATTCGTAAGACACGCAGGAAACCTGTCATACAGGCTCCATAAATGTCAGTAAATTAAATTCAGATTTTTTTCTACAATGTTTTAATATTTTAAATAAATTTTAAAAAAATGCTGATTTTTTTTTCTAGGCACTGAATTTTCGTTCTTCACCTCTGAAGATGCCGGAACTGTTGCTCATTTAACGTTACCCAGTGGGCACTTGTGAACCTAAGTCACAGAGGAGTGCAACTATACCCACGTCACACTGCCACAAATACCCGTTTATAGGGTGGGCCACATTCACACATCACACAATAGTGAACAACACTCAGAGAGAATCATCCATGTCCTGAGCGGGATTCAAACCCACAACCGTTGGTTTCACAGTCAGGCATGCTGACCGCTCGGCCGGAAAATGCTGTTTTAAAAACATGTTATTAATGGAAAATTTATTATCCGCTTTTTTCAAACGAAAAAAAAATTAAATATTTTTAATGTAGATTTAGAAATACAAGCATAAAAATATTGTTACTTTTTTAGCGGCTAAAGGTATTGCTTTTTCAAATATCTTCAAATTGGAGGAGATTATATCAATCGGAGATTCTTGGGAGGTGTTATCAGTTCTTGGTCGATGTTCAAGCACTGCAGCCGTGAAATAATCTCTTCCCAATGCAATACCAGGAAGAAGCAAGCACAGAAACACTAAGCAGTTATTCATTTTTGCTAAAATGCAATAGGTAAAAAAATTTTAACAAAAATGTTTTAAAATACTTCTACTAGATTAAATAAAAAATTTATTAAAGTTCAATAACTATTCAGATTTCAATTACTATTAAATTTCAACAACTATTAAATTTCAAACTAAAATACTATTTTTTAAGTATCAGAATCTTGAAGAAGACAATTTGACCTATTGCGGTGCACAACTTTAGCAATATGACATAATCAAGACATCAAATTTGCATATAGTTTGTCTAAAATAAGAACTCCCGCAAACATTCGTCTGGATCTGTGGCGGTGACTATGGTAACGAGGTATGACTATTTCAAATAGGGGTGTGGGGTAACTGTTTTGGAGTGGTTTCGGTTAGTGTCGGTGAGAGAAAGGGAATATCTTTCTTCGGTATATTGTGCTAGTCCTAGAGGGAAGCTTCCCTCCCTAAAATGCGCCATTCTTGTTTCCATATCACCAGACGGCCCCAAACTTTGTGGCGGGAGGAGTTCTTAGCTTAGACAAACTATAGCTGCCATTTTGTAAGGTCAGCAACATTATGGGTTTTGGCGTATTAAATCTTGAAGTTTAAAAAAAATTAAACTACCACGATGGATCAATAATTCAAAAAATTATGTAGATAAGATCTATTTGTTGGCAAATTACGCCTATGGATGCCTTAATAGTTTTGTTTTTAGAAAATTCTCTCAAATTTGATTGTTGAAGTACTACCTCTCTGTAAAATCTTTTTCAATGGCCGGCCAATCGTTTTAGGAGCCGGGATAGCCTGGCTGGTAGGACGTTGGACTCGTGTTTGTGAGAGCGGGAGTTCGGATCCAGCCGGCCGAAGAATCCCCGAGTCTGACTGGTGCACGTTAAATCAGTCGGGGTCACAGATTCCTCCACGTTTTATAACAAATCGATACCTCTTTGGATACTGATCCAGGAGCTTCGTTGTCTTCTGGATTGGGATAAAAATTACAAGGATTCGGAGTTGAATATTAGTATTCGTAAGCCTAGAGTTGGGTCGACTGTTCAACGACAATTATAAAATATAAAATGGCCGCACAAGATGATAGGAATGGATTTATATTACAAATTTATCCATTATTACATCCAGCTATAAGGAATAAGCAAAAGGAACACGATATCCTCTCCTCTTTTACATGAAACTTTTTTTTATATATATACAATTTATCATTCACACACTATTATGGGTTCACACACTATTATGGGCAAAGGACATGTTTGGCTCAAGCACCCAGCTCCACTTGATAAGTGAACTATTCAGATTAAAGGTAAGTGAATTAAACTTAAGCGTCCAGATAAATGTGAAATTAATTCTAATGTAGTTTAGCACTACATTAATTTATGTCCTTGGAACTGTTTTACCATGAAGAAAGTTCTGAAAACGCTTAACGTCTACCAGCCGAACCTGACCTTTTAATTGTCTTGATTGAATTTTTATTTAATCGTTAAGCCTCATGTACCAAGTTCTTACAAATTGTCCGATACTTGGTGACTAAGTCAAAAATATTTTTTCCCTTTGTATTTTTTTTAAACGACTTAAAACTCCTCATGCACCACAAAGTATAGCATGAGGCTTACAGTTGTAAGTAGAAAACAAAAAGAAGAAAAATTTACAAATTTNAGTGCGACGTAAATTAACAACAGCAACATCGCAGAGAAAATGTAGGACTGGGTTGGTGAGTCAGCCGAGGGTATGCTGTATCAGTCCTCGTTAAACTGTTCTACTATATAGTGTTCGACTTCGCGTGTGTCGGACTACAGAAGCGGGGGTGCCATCCCCTTTGCAGAGGATCAAAATTGTGATGGCATATCCTTGGATCATCCTCAGGGATGTTTCCTGGACCGTCGCCATAAGCCCATTATGCGGCGTCTAGTGTGACGTTAATGGACTACAACAACAACAATTTTTTTTTCAATTTAATTTAATTTAAATTTCCTATCATCAAAATGGAATGTCAAGTTGAGAAAAAAAAAAGCATTTTCGTCCCCTCTTCCTTATTGCTTTTTGATCAAGGTAATAGGATTACAAAAACTGCTCGTGGCATTTGTGTTGTGTTTTTTCTATTGCCTAATTGCCATGCCAACAAGCCTGCTTGAAAAACCAAGCAAGTGTAAGGCAGAGGGCGCGTTTTTTGTTTTTCAGTGGCGCCATCCATGGCCAAGAATACGACTTCAGCCACACACACATCCCAGCTCATTTTACAAGGTGGACCCGTTCACGATCGTAATTTTGATATGAACCAGAGAACGATCAATCTCCAATTTACCAATTCAGTACATTTATGTTATGTATAAAGAAGGGGTGTTATAGCTGAATCAAAGTTAAATATAGACAATTTAACCTCAAAAACGTACTTCTTTCTGGCTGTCCAGTTGAACTTGAAAAGCGATTAAACCCAACTTTTGCACAGAATTTTGGGTTAAACGTCAACTGATAGAGAAAATAATGGAATGCTTCCATACTTTGACCTTTTGACTTTTAGAAGAAAATGGCGAGAGCTTCACTGCTAACTCAATGCAATGGAATTGTATTTGTGCTATGGAAATACATAATGAATGGAACACAGATACATATTTGTTGTTTCGCAATATTCAATCATTCTTTAAAGTTTATTCTAGGTAGAATCAACCTGCTGAATCATATGAGTGTAAAATCATATTATATATGCTGAATAATGTTAAAGCAAAAGTAAATGCTTGATCCTGTCCCATTGCTTTATCCAGGAGTTCTCTTGTCTTCTGGGTTGGTTACATAATTAAGAAGTTACGTAGTTGAACATTGAAAGTCGTAAACTCAGAATTGGATCGGCTGCTCAACGCCATTTATAAAATTGTTATATGTAGAATGGTAATATTAAATACTCGTGCATATGTTCGGAAGAAAACGTTTAATTTTATTAACGAAGAATAGATTTCTAAACCTTCATTGTTAATAGCCCTTAAATTGCTCCCAAATTTCATATTACTGTAGGATTTCATAATTCAGTGACCAATATTAGTAAATTTCTCAATCAAATTGAAAGATTTCTTATTTTATATTAAATTGATATACATACATTATTTGATTATTTTTCCCGACTTTTCCAATCAAGATTGTATGTTATTTGTCTTCTTCTCGTCACCAGTATTAAATAATTTGTAAGACACGCAGGAAACTTGTCATACATGCTCCATAAATGTCAGTAAATTAAATCTAGATTTTTTTTTCTACAATGTTTCAATATTTTAAATAAATTTTTAAAAAATGCTGATTTTTTTTTCTAGGCACTGAACTTTCGTTCTTCACCTCTGAAGATGCCGGAAGTGTTGTTCATTTAACGTTACCCAGTGGGTACTTGTGAACCTAAGTCACGGAGGCGAGCAACATTACCCACACCACACTGCCACAAATACCCGTTTATAGGGTGGCCCACATTCACTCATCACACAATAGAGAACAACAGACAGAGAGAATCATCCATGCCCTGAGCGGGATTCAAACCCACAACCATTGGTTTCACAGTCAGGCACGCAGACCGCTCGGCCGGCAAATGCTGTTTTAAAAACATGTTATTAATGGAAAATTTACTATCCGCTTTTTTCAAACGAAAAAAAAATAACATTTTTAATGTAGATTTAGAAATACAAGCCTAAAAATATTGTTACTTTTTTAGCGGCTAAAGGTATTGCTTTTTCAAATATCTTCAAATTGGAGGAGATTATATCAGTAGGAGATTCTTGGGAGGTGTTATCAGTTCGTGGTCGATGTTCAAGCACGGCAGCCGTGAAATAATCTCTTCCCAATGCAACACCAGGAAGAAGCAAGCACAGAAACACTAAACAGTTATTCATTCTTGCTAAAATACAATAAGTAAAAAAAAAATTTAAAAATGTTTTAAAATACTTCTACTATATTAAATAAAAAATTTATTAAATTTCAATAACTATTCAGATTTCAATTACTATTAAATTTCAATAACTATTAAATTTCAAACTGAAATATTATTTTTTAAGCATCAGAACCTTAAAGAAGACAAAGACAATTTGACCTATTGCGTCACACAGCTTTAGCAATATGACATAATCAAGACATCAAATTTACATATAGTTTGTCTAAAATAAGAACTTCATCAGACATTCGTCTGGATCTGTGGCGGTGACTATGGTAACGAGGTATGACTATTTCAAATAGGGGTGTGGGGTAACTGTTTTGGAGTGGTTTCGGCTCGTGTCGGCGAGAGAAAGGGAATATCTTTCTTCGGTATATTGTGCAAGTCCTAGAGTCTAGCTTCCCTCCCTAAAATGCGCCATTCTTGTTTCCTTAACACTAGACGGCCCCAGATTTTGTGGCGGGAGGAGTTCTTAGCTTAGACAAACTACAGCTGCCATTTTGTAAGACCAGCAACATTATGGGTTTTGGGGCATTAAATCTTGAAGTTTAAAGTTTTAAAAAAAATTTTAAATTACCACGACGGATCAATAATTCAAAAAATTATGTAGATAAGATCTATTTGTTGTTGGCTAATTATGCTTATAGATGCCTTAATAGTTTTGTTTTTAGAAAATTCTCTCAAACTCGATTGTTCTTGTACTACCTCTTTGTAAAACCTCTTTCAATGGCCAGCCAATCCATTTAGAGGCCTGGATAGCCTGGCTGGTAGGACGTTGGACTCATGTTTGTGAGAACGGGAGTTCGGATCCAGCCGGTAGAAGAATCCCCGAGTATTAATTGGTGACTGGTGCACGATAAATCTGTTGGGTCACAAAGTCCTCCAAGTTCTCATTATTAAAAAAAAATCGATACCTCTGGGGTAACTGATCCAGGAGCTCCCTTGTTTTCCGGATTGGGATCAAAATGAGAAGGATACGGAGTTGAACATTGGTAGTCGTAAGCCTAGAGTTGAGTCGGATGTTCAACGAAGATTACAAAATGGCCGAACAAGTTGGCAGGTATGAATTTATATAATAAATTAATCCATTATTACACCTATCCTTAAAAGCAACTAAAGCAAAAGGAATCTCCTTTTTTGTATGTAACTTTTTTTTATATATACATAATTTATCATTCACACACTAATATGGGCAAAGGACATGTTTGGCTCAAGCACCCAGCTCCATTTGATAAGTGAACTATTCAGATTAAAGGTTAGTGAATTAAAGTAATTAAACTTTAAGCGTCTACATACACAGATTAATGTGAGATTAATTCTAATCTAGTTTAGCAGTACCATAATTTATGTCTTGGGAACTGTTTCACCACGAAAATAATTCTGAAAACGCTTAAAGCGTCCACCAGCAGAACACGATCTTTTAATTGTCTTAATTGAATTTTTATTCAATCGTTAAGCCTCATGTACCGAGTTCTCACAAATTGTTCGATACTTGGTGACTAAGTCAAAAATACTTTTTCCCTTTGTATTGAATCCATTTTTTAACCAACTTCCTATTTTGGTAGCATTCACCTTTTATGAGAGTGGTATACTAATTAATTTACTCTATCATCTGTTTTTCAAAAGTAAGATGTACCTGTACATAATGACAAATCATCAACAAAAATAAATTCAGCCCCTTGACCTTCTGGATTCATTCCTATGAAACATTTTAAATTAAAAGTGGTTGCTTATTACAGAAAATATCCACTTTGCTTTCGTAAAAATATGCTACCACATTTTTACAAAAGCAGTTTTCTAGTCATTGTAAAATTTTTCATTTAAGCTCTCGCTTCTGAGAATAGGTTTACGAAACGTACTAAAAATCATCTTTCATTTTGCTGAATCCAATTACGAAATGGTTAAATTAAGAATTTTATTTCATAGATATAGAAAATAAATATTATTTTTATTAAACAATTTGATTTCCAATTTTTTCCTCAATAGCTATCCGCCTTACCAACTTAGCCACCTAAGAAACAGTACAAATTTAAAAAAAAAAAAGTTTTTTGATGAAAAATTACATGGTATAGATAAAATATTGTCTGGATTTTTATTGAAATTATTATTATTATTTTTTAAACTTGAGTGTGAAACCAGTAAAACATAAAATCATGAAAATTAATATCAACCGAAGATCACTAAAATCATTAGTTAATTTATAAGTTAAGAGCTTTTAAAAAGGTGATATAAGACCGTTTCCTTTCTACTCGAATGGAGTTGAACAGTTGTAAATTGACTAAAGATGTTCGTATTTTTTCCTACACTTCAATGTTTTTCATAGTAATATTTCTATTATTCACTTATTAGCATTTGATCCTAAAAGTTCTATGGCGAATATCAATAAAATGATTTGTAGAGTTAATTCATATAAATTAAAAACTTCAAGAAAAGCTATCAAAACCACTGACGTTCGACTCAAAAACAGAACTATGATATCGGTAGTCGATATATTCGACTCCAAGTTTGACTATATCTCTCATATGTAAGCATTCTATCAGAATTCTGATAATTATGAACTAGAAACACATTAAATTCATTTTCATCAATTCATTTCTTAAATTAATTTTAATTAATACATTAGATTCAATTGCATATATTTTTAATTTACTTTTCAACATAGCTAAATAAACCTAAGAATCAAAATTTATTTACGATTCATAGATTATAATATACGAATCAAAATTTAATTTCGAATTTTCAAAATTCTTCTGTGTTCTTCTTCAATAATTCAAATGTGAAAAGTTTGTGTTAAGTTATAATTTAAATGATTGCCGTAGTATATTCTTTTGAATATTTTTGCACACTAAATTATAAATATTTAACTAAATAATTTTTACAATATCAAAAACTTAATTTCTATTTACCTAACTTAGGTCTTAACTTTTAACTATCAGTAATCGAGCAAAATTTTCCTTTTATAATTATGTCTCTTGCAAAAATATCTTCAACTCCATTTCTACAGCACTGCAAAATATGGGGTCGAACGTTTAAAACGTACGAATTTTCTGTGTTCTTTGTCAATAGTTCTATAAAGCACCGACTCAAACACGTTTTAATGTGATAAGTTTGTGTCAAGTTATAATTTAAATGATTGATAATTTAATTGAAATTCAAAACGACCAAAAAATTACTATGCTAATATAATTATACATTAATCACTTGCTCACTGGTAAATTATGATGCCATAGAATTTTACATGTTTTACTGAGTGACAAATAAATAAATAACTTACCTTCTTCGAAAACTCCCTGTCTCCAAATTTTTAAGCAAAACGACTAATAAGTCTATCAATCTATTTTTGTTTTCTCTTTAGATATCACTCTTATCTATAGCATTTCTATTGTTACAATTTATCTCAAGATAATAAGATAGACAATTTTGTCTAGCTTATTTCTGAACTCGGAGCGATTTTTAAGAATAAACTTCATACTAGGTATTAATTTGAAGCAGAAGATCAAAGCTTATTTTTTACGGATTTATAAATTATTTCTGAATTGTTACAATTCAGAAATAATTTATAAATCCGTAAAAAATAAATATGACATAAACAAGTATTATGAATACATGCAAATTAAAGCTTTGCTGTACCGACTAATATTTATCTCTTCAAATTAGAACTCTTTGAAAAAAAAAATTTGAGAATCAGTGCTTAAACCAAGTTGATAATTTTTAACGTTAGTGCTACTTTAATTTTAAAGAAAAAATGCGCAATTACATAATTTCAGATATATATACAATTACTTCTATAATCTGCTCCCGGCACGCACCGACCACAGTGCTGACTTAAAATATCCTTAATCATGAGCTAGAATCATCTTACCGTCGGGATAACCGTGTAGGATCTGAATAGTTTCCCGCTCCGTGTAATGCTAATGTGAGTTAGTTCCATCAAAAGTCCTTCACAAAGGCTAGTTTGTCAAAATACTTGATCAAGGAGTTCCCTTGTCTTCTGTGTTTGGTTTAAATCGACAAGGCTAGGGAGTAAAGCATTGATAGTCGTAAACTCAGAATTGGGTCTGCTGTTCAACGACGGTTATAAAATAAAATGAAATTATTTATATCAAATTATTCATAGTTTGGCGAACAAGAAGGTCAAGTTTTTCGAAAGAGTACACGAGAGTTTTGGTGGTCCATGGGTTTAAATTCCTCAGATAGGAACTGATCATAATAATATTAAAATTAATGAAATCTCCCTCCTTTACGCTCCGTTAAAAATGAGATTTTCACTATCGCTCAGCAAGCTGCCAATTTTATAAAGATACTCGAATGAGCTGAGTTCACAAAAAATTTAAAATACTTTTTTATCGTATATAGATTTTATCGCATGTATACAGATTAAGTAAGAATTAATAATGAAGATGGATTGGGAACATTAGTTTTTCAATTTCTTTTTTTTATCAAGGACTAAGAATTTTTTTCATGAATCACGTTATTAAATTGCGAACAACAATAGAAGTAGAATTAGTATTTTTTGTAAATGAATAAATACTTATGAATATATATATACACGTGTAAAACAATGGAAAAGACAAGTTTTTATTTATTTATTTTTTTGTAATAAACTAAAAACACAAATAAAACTAAACCTATCCAAAGTATCATGTGATAGAAGACCGATACATGAAAAAAGGAAAATGAGAACGACCTGTACCATAAATTTTATATTATAGCCGTAGTTTAGCAGCAGACCAATTTTGAGTTTATGACTACCAATGTTCAACTCCGTAGCTTTGTTATTTTGAACCCAATCCAGAAGACAAGAGAATCCCAGGTAATTTGGGAGAGATTCTGCCATATCTCTCAAGTATTGGGAAAGATTTTACTTTGGTGGGGGACTTTCTGATAAAATTAACCATTATGGAAAGAAAAACTACGAAAACATTCCACGGTTAGCCTGGCGAGACGACAGTGGGATTCTAATCCATGACCCGCCAACCACTGATTATATTTTACGTCAGCACTGTCGGTGCTGAATTTGCGTAGACAAACCATTGCTGGGATTCGAACCCGGGTCGCCTCTGCGTCACCACGGCTCCTATACCCAAATAAGGAACTTTTCAGGGTCACATGGTCGATATTCACGCATTAGATCCCTCCACAGTTAGAGAAAAGCATGTATAATACGGTTTGTGATTGCTTTCAGGAGTCACACAACTCTCGCATCGGCGCTCCATACTGTTTAGTAGGGTCCTTATCAATCTCTGTGGCAACCGCACCCACTCTTGCACCCTCGAGGGAGTTTGTCTTTGAGCAGTGCCGTAATTTCGTCACCCGGGCCATAATTCGGAATGCTTGTCTGGCACGATGCCTGCCAAGACCAATTTAGCCGCGTCTGCTGCAACTAGTTTTAAGTAGGGTTTTTTTTAGTTAAAACTACAAGACTAGTTTTAGCCACGTAATTTGGTTTTGTGAAAATTGTGATCATAGATTTATGATCAATAGATTTATGATCTTTTGAAGATTTATTGAAAATAAACAATGCGTATAGCTTTGTTTAAATCTTTAATAAGTTTTAATATTCTGTGGTTTTGTGGGGTTTTTTTTATACCAATGAACATTAAATCCTTCCCAACACCTTAATTTTTTGTCGCTTTCGCTGTAAACTACCTTGTATCGCGGATAGATCTGGGAAAAAACCGGGAGAGATAGCGAGCAAGAGGTAGGGCCTAATATATAATTTATAAAAAGTTTTGAAGTTGGGGTATAAAACGAGGCTAAAGTGGAAATAAGGAAGCGATTTAAAGCGAAATGAGTAATACATTTGCGGGGCTCATTGAGTGGTAGGTAATAAATATCAAGACAGAATGAAAAGAGTAGAAGCTGGTGATAAAAATCACTTTTTTCTATTCATGATTACCAAGATCTTTTAACAGTTTCAACAATTATATAGGACTTCTTTTTACTCCGAAAAACTAGAATTAAAACGATTTTATCTGTTTTTGTTGTCCCTTCTCTTTCGCATCTCACTTTCAAGCCTGACTTGTGGTAATGAGCAAGATGATGGAACCTATTTAAAACATATTTATTCATATATTTAAAAAAATTAATTAATAAAAATTTTAGACATATAACACATTAACAAACTCAGATTATGAATTCAAAGTAAATCTACAGATCTTCACTTGAACTCAATGCTGTTTAAAAAACAAATTATTTATTAATCCAATAAGCGTTTGCTTAAGAGCGGTTAATCAAATAGCTCTACATTTTTAGAGGTTTGCAATATTTTTGAAATAAGTGTTACCAGACTGGATACCTGACCATCTAACAGTGCCATCTGCTGATAAACTTTACAAATAACTATTAAACTTGAGAAGAACAAATTCTGTCGTTTCCTGTACAGAAAATATCAACCAAGAAAATTCATTTTTTTAAATCGAATTTTCAATATGTCAGTCATTTTAAAAACACCTGAATTGATGAAAGAAAACACTTAAATGCTGTTTCTTTAAGAATAGCTGGCTTATTACAGTAAAGAGATTTTGTGAAGATCTTGTGTAACAAAAGCAATAAAACAAGAAAAAAAAAGCCAATAAAAAAACTTTTTAATTACAGTTACCAGACATCTTTGTAATCAATACAGCATGAAAAAATTCTCTTTAACACAGCAAAGGAAATTATATAATTTAAATCCTCGGTAAGATACAAGTTCAATAATAAGTTGACTGCATGCCTTGTTAGAGTGTTGATGAGGGAAGCCATTATTTTTATTATTAAAAAATAACTTACACAAAATAAGAAGAAATTATGCATTTATACAAATGGAATCAAATACACTGCAAATTAAAGAACTGGAGCAGTTTTTTCTTTCTCTGCTGCTCTTCTTTTGACGTCCCAATTATAAACTCTTGCCATATCTATATAAAGTTAAGAATTCTAACAGTGAGTTTTATTTCAATATTACATAGTTTGATGCAGCCGTTCCAAAATGATGTTCCGCAGAACCCTGTAGAAGGTTCACAGGGCAGAAGGGATTGTGACACAAAGTGAAAAAAACCTGAGAATTTTATGTGCAAAAACTTGATAACAAGATATCAATTTATATACTATTCAGATTTAATATAATTTTTTGTAATTCTATTCTATTCATTTTAATATGATAATAATTCAATTACTTACCAATAAAGAATATTTATAGTAACTACTTTCAAAAAAAAAAACTTAGTTAAGAGCTCACAAAAATTGCGATATTGGATCTTAAAATCGAGCGAATATGAATTGAGATACAGAATTTTAAGAATGCTTAAATACAAATAGCAATATTGGACCTTAAAATCGAGTGAATATGAATTGAGATACAGAATTTTAAGAATGCTTGTGATATTGGATTTAACGCAAAAATAAAAATAGCATTATTAGATTTTAGTATTGAGTAAATACGAATCGCGATGCATGATTGTTAGATCCCGTGAATACGAATAGCGACATTGGACTTTAAACTTGCGTGAATACGAATCACGATGTACGATTTTTAAATTGCCTGAATACGATTTACAATGAGTAACTTTTGTATCAGGTTGATATAAAAATCGATGTTTGATATTAAAATAGCCTGAATATGAATCGGGATATTAGAGAATTATGACGTAGTTTCAAACATTAAAAACAATAAAGATCTGAGAAACAAAACAAAAAAAAGGATGAGTCACGTGTATAAAAATGTCTCATCAACGCGATTAAGGGAAGGTTTCAAAATTTAAATTTTAGAACATAATTCTTGCTTTACATTTTAGATAATTTTGCAGAAGTCCGCGAATCAAAGGTTTTGAGATAAGCAGAATTCTGCAACAACAAAAAAAAATCACATAAACTGCTCCTAGTTTTTAGGACTGAAGGGATGATACGGAAAACCTCAAATACAATCATCCCTGACAGGGGTTCAAATAGTTTACATTTTGCAAAAACTCATTATATTTATAAGTAAACAATAAGCCATCATTTATTTGATATTTCGGTCACTCTCACAGTTTCTTTTTTTTTTAAATATTTCCTCCAACAACAATATATTGAACAAATTACGGGAAGATAAGCATTTAATAAAAACTGAATCATTATTTCTCCTCAAACTTCACAAATTGAAATAAAATTACTAAATCCTAGAATAAAGAATTATGTTTCTCTGATAACCATTTTAACAGTTCTTTACTGAAAATTATAAATCAGTGTACTTTATCCAGCTTCATTAAAAAACAATTTCAGAAACTGTGGGTGCCATTTTAGACCAATGAATTCAATTGGATGATAGAATAAAACCTACAATTTTAAATGAATAAAACATTACTGAAAAAATTATTTAATTCTTCACATAAATATATTAACAGATGCCAATTTTTTTATAAACTTAACAAGTATACCACATAATAAGTTTTACCAATATAAATTTACTTAAATGAGTTCTTACCAAAAGGTGCTTTATCATTTAAGGTTCTGTAGCCATAAAAAATTGGAAACTGCTGGTTTAAAGAATTAAAATAAAGGAAAAGACATGCAATTGAAACCTAGAAACTATAATAAAAGAACTATGCTGAATTGCAGCCATTATTTCCCAATAGTAAGGAACAAGGTTCTGATTCTTTAACCCTTAATAGCTACCCATCTGATTGCATATATACTCAGGTCAATGTGACTGATCTGTAGCTGTTGAAGTGATAAACAAAAATATTTTTACTCCTAAGTCAATATTTTTATGGGAAAAGTTTAAACTTATCTTATCATTGTGAATGCTGTATTTTAATAAGCAGTTTACAATAAAAACATGTGTTACTTAATAATCACTTTGAATACAAAAGTTTTAGCCTAATTATATTCAAATGAAAAATAACCTAAAAATAATGCCCCAGTATTTAAAATAAATCAATTTATTAAAATATTTAATATATATGATATATAACAAATAAGGAATTTTTAAAATTATTGTAAGCTAACTTACTTTGTGATTCTATTTAAATATTGCTTTTAAAATTCTAAGCAATCTATTTTTTCATGATTTATATTTCTTTTAAAAAAAGAAATATTTGACTATAATATTTTATTGTAGTTTATTAACAGTATTCAAGCAATAAAGCTCCTAACATCTATTATTTAATAATTATTCTGAATACAAAAGTTTTTGCTTGATAATAAGAGAATAAAAAAAATTAACTGAAAGTAATGCCGCAGTATTTAAAATTCTAGAATAATTAAAATATTAAATATGAATGCTAAAATGAAATAAGAAATTAATTACATTCATTTTATATGTAAAATTCTTTAACACTACTGTATCCATATATGTTTAAGAAAAAACATACAAATCATTATCAATTTTTACAAGAGCATTTTTATTTTCTTCAAATTAATTTTAAAGATGTTAAAAAATAGCATACAACAATTTATACCCATTTGCCTTTTACTTGATCATTTAGCTGAAAATCAAAATTAAAAACAAAACATAGAATAGGTAGACAGAAAATTTTCTGAAGGAATAAAAATTTTATAGCACAAATTTGCCACTGAAAAAAAATTAATATCAATATTTGCAATAAATTAACATAGTAAAAAAACACCTTTTAGCTAACATAAAAAGTCAAAATGACTCTATAATCAATATATCACATTGGTTCTATAATCTTTTATGTAATTATGAAACTGAAATTAAAGTGCCTGTTCATGAGGTATTACTTGTGCATTTTTCACAGTGTTTGGTTTTATTCATTAAAGTTAATTCCTTTAATTAAGATATTAGCTTGAACAAATTTATAATAGGATTTATTCAATTATATATTATATATTTTGTACTTAGTTTTCAAATGAGATTATCATAGGTACTGCCTATAAATTTCAAAAATAGCAAAGACTTCTAAATTTAAAGTTAAAAATATTATAATTGATTTCTTTAATACACAATGTAAAATTTTTTAAAAAATGCCAAAAACAAATATTACTATTCTAGGAACAGCTTTTGAGTGCAAAATATACAACCTTTTAATCACAGAATTTATAAAAAAAAATTTAAAATTTTTTATAAGAAATAATTAAACAGAAATTTAGAATAAACCAACAGATTTAGACATACCAACAATATTTTCAACATATAAACATTCATATGATTTCAGAAAATTAGATACCAAAAAATTACTATTATTATAAGGGGAAAAAACTAACAAAATATAAACTAAAAATTTATTATAAATGTAATAAGTACGTCAATTAGTTAACTGATGAACAAAACAATTAAAATAGTAACTCAAATATAAAAACTCTTACCCTTGTTAGAAAATAAAAATAAAACATTGATAAAGGATACTGACTTCAGTAGTAGTAAGTTGATCGCGTAAGAAATCTAAATCTTCTTCTAATTGAGAAAGATTTTTTGTAGCAGTTTGAAAATTTCTGGATAACAAATCCTCTGCATCTTTTAATGTATACTCTAACATAACATTAGCCTAAAAAAAAATATGTAAAAATTTAAATAATTGTATAAAAATTGAAATAATTGGGAAGAAATAACTAATAAAATCAAGATAAAAATATGCTTCGTAATGGAGGGGGAGAAATTCAACCTCTCTGTTTAATATACAATACGGTTAAGCCATTTTGCTACACACAGTGTTTTCACTACAGCACGAGAATCTCGCATTAAAAAATTATTAGCACGAGAAGTTCGCGCACTCTATTAATCAATTTTAAAATGCACGAATCTCTTGAATTTTGGAAAAAATTTCGTCTTCCGCAAATTTGAATAAAATCCGCCATTTTGAAAAAGACATGAAAACAGCTACGGCATGTGTTGAGAAAAAAAAAAACGAGTTCTTTATAATAAGTTGTTTAAAGTCAGCTCCATTTTTAGCTGTAAATGAATTACCGAACTCCCTCACCGACAATTTACAGCATTTTGTAAAAGTTGAAGTCTGTGAAAACTATGCTGGACGACCTAACAAGAAGTATGAACATGGAAATAACTTCAACGAACTTCACTATACTATAACAGAAATAATTGAAAAGCCTATACAGGCAGATGTAGAGGATAGGAAAGTGAGTGCACAATGCTACAAATTTAATTAGTGATTCCGAATAGTTCAACATCTGTCATTTAGCACCCAAAACCGAATTAAAACAAAATATAGTAACAGATTTGACTGATGAGCATTTGAGCAACCTAATGAGAATAGCTGATGAAAAAGTAGATATAGAACATTTTCCCTATGATGATGCAATAAAAATATTCAATGGTTTAGAAATTAGAAGATGTTAAAAATGTATTATAATTAAAGAAATANGGAGTCTGTGCAGATTGAACGAATTAAGAATGAATTTTTAAGAAAAAAAAAGTTCAATGTGTTCAGAAACTATCTTGCACCTAATTTATGCTTTAAAAAAATAAAAAAACATCGCTGGGAATTCAGAAAAGTCTCCCAATAGTCTCCTTTTCCTGAAAATAGTTGCTTTTTTAGCCTTTTCAGGCAAAAAAAAGTTTACATAGTTGCCTTATGCCAAAAATAGTTGCATTTTAGTCGCCTGTGGAAGCCCTGTAAATTTTCTATCATTATCTGGCTATTTAATAATCTATATGTATCGATTCTAAGATAAATGTGGTGAATATAGCTTACCCTAATGAATATTTTAAGCAAAATCAAAGAAAAAAAGATAAAATTAAAAAAAAAAATTGGGAAGTTTATTAAGACACCGTTGGGATTGTGGAAAAAAGAGGTTATCTAAAAAGTTAAACCTCTTGAAAAGTGAGGATATGAAAAGTAATTTAGTTAAGACTTCATAGTAAACATTGTTAAAAAAAATAATCAACAAAATTGTTTTCAATAAATAAAAACATAAAAGAACACTTCTCTCCAATTCATTGTAATGAGTATAATGATAAAACTGAAAGGCACCAAGAACATTAAATTAATTTCATAGATAAAACTACTACAGATAAAATTGATTATTCTATATTGAAGAATAAATTCCATAGAAATATAATGCTTAAACTTATTCTATCAAATAAATGATAAATTTAAGCAAAATATTTCATACAGAAAAATAAATTTTAGTGAAATAAGTAATGAAGTAGAATAATAAATTTTCCTAAAACATGTAATGTCAAAGAATAAGCTTAAAGGAAACCGAAGTAGTCTAAAAGAGATTAATCTAGCTTCACCAAATGTAAAAAAATATGTTGAATAATTTCTCTAATTCTTCAAAAAATAAGCAACTTTTAAGTAAAAAATCATAATTAGGATCTGTGCATTAATGAAAATTATTCTTTCCTACTGTTTAAAGTTCTTAATGTATAAACATAAAATCAATAAAATTTTCAGAAACTTTACATAATCATGATAAAATAACTAGTTTCCAATAAATAATGCAGAGAAAATTGTGAAAATCATGAATTTTTTGCAATTTAGAACGACAATCGATACAGTAAAGAAAAAATCTCTTTTAAAAGATAGAAAATCAAGGATTCTTTTCAAACGACGAATAAAAAGAAGCACCTTTAAGGGTTTTTAAAAAATTTAAATCAAAAATAAGTACCGTTAAGCACTTTTTAAAAATGCTATTTACCCTGAGAAAGCAAGGGAAAAAAAACTAAATATAATTTTAAGCTAACTTTTGATAATTACATAATAAATAAAACTAATACTATATTGATTATGTAATTAATAAAATTCTTAAATTTTTTCCCTAATTCTAAATTCCCATTAACTATTACATCACTTAAAGAAAAGAAAAATTGCATTTAAAATAAATACAATAATTTTACCAGCAATGAAATATAATTTCCTTTTAAAAAATTCTATCATCAGACAATATTGTATATTTATAAGTTAAGTGTAAGTTAATTATCAAAATTAGTATCAGAAGTCAAAACTTAATAGCTTAACTTTACATTTACGAGCTCAAACTAAACTAAATGATAAATCAATGGTGTGTACAATTGTTAGTTGATATAAAATTCTGATCATGATGCATGTTATTCCATTCAAATTTGGAAAAAAAATACCCTTTTTTTCCCCCCTGTACATAATATACACAATATTTGAAGAATGAACACATCACTGTGCTCGAGTGAGAGCTATATTGGGCTAACTATACCAGTTTTATTTAATTTCTGGAAAAACTTCGAGAAATAAAGAACAGCTGAAATATCATCCTTAACTGCCGAGTAAAATTTACGTGATTCACTTCCCAGTGCCACCGTTTTTCGCTCAAGTGCGCTTTCTTGCGCGGTGTTTCGGTGGGGGGAAATGATGCATGCGTTGCAATTTAAAAACAGTTTACTTTTACAAGACAAGAAAAAGGAAAGTAAGAAAATACAAAATTTAAATTAAATATTAAAAATACAATATAAAAGATGTTTAAACTTAGCTGCTGTATGATAAATCCTGAAACATGGTTGGACACATAAACCAACATCACATTCATTGCACTGATAGCGGGATTCACGAAGAATTTTTTTTCTTGAACTAACAGCACATTTTCGCGATGCATTTTTCTTTGAAGACGTTGTTGGAAAGAATCAAAAGTACCAAATACACACATGAAACAAAAGCGAAAAAACCCGACCTTACTCAAACAGAGACACGCAAGCGATTAATTCCCCTCCTCCGAAATTAGTAATACATTTGCAAAGCAAACACTTTCAAGGTCATTTTACTGCATTCTGAAGTAGGGGGTGTAGTTCTATTTATAGCAGAGCAATGCAAAGCATCATACTTCAGAAAAGCGTATAAACACGCCGGCGGCAGTTAACACATCGTCTGGCCGAGACGTATATATACGCCCGCAGCAGTTAAGGGGTTAAATATCCCATATATTACGCTTTGAGTGGTCACCATTTTTTAAAACAGGAAAATAAGAAATATAATTTCCCGTACTTCCAAGTTTGAAAAGAAAAACTCATTTTCCAGTATATCCTGTTATTTTAGGAGATTTTTAAATTCCCTCCAGGTTTCCTCCATTCTCCCTATGCACTGCCAACCCTGTAAAACATAATCTTTTCAAGACAAGATAACAATGTTTTTTTCCCTTTTTCCTTTTAAGAAAACAAAATTGTAAATTTTTATGCTCTGAAATTATGTAGGTAAATGAAAATGGATACGATAATATTAATACTACAATGATTGATTAACAAGTTAAAATCTGAAATAAAATAACTAGAATTGCATTACTTTTTTAAACAAATCTACTAAAGAAATTTATAATATTCAATTCTATTAAACAAAACTAAGTGAAGCGACAGTGAATGGAGGGTCATGGTCTACTGTTCTCATTCCAGTACACTACTGTACTCATTTCCTTTGGGTGTAGGAGCAGATGCTCCGGACGGGTGGTTAATCGAATGCCTAACTCCCAGAGTTTAGTACCCAACTTGGACATCAATTTAAAAAAATTACTGAAAAGATAAAATCCTAAGTATAAATTTCTTAAAATTAATTATAGAGTCTGTAACTAACAATATTAATAAAATAATAGCGATAATCATAATAAAATAAGAAAGAGTCCCTGTACATGGTGAAATAAAATTTAGGTTTGATACCTAGCCGAAATGAAAAAAACACATTCAATGAAATAGATTACACACAATAAATTGTAAAATATTTTAGGATGTTTTTGAAATTTTTATTTATGAGTCTAAAACTTACTCCAAGCCATAAACCAACTTTATCAGTTGGGGGCACTTTAGCTTTTATATAGAGATCATCACAAACCATAAACTGAGTATCCACATTTGCTGATTCTTCCTAAAACAAACAAAAGTATGATTGGTTTTTTTAACAAAAATATAGAATATGATAGATAAAACAGATATAGATTTATACAATACAGGTATAAGAGTAAGAAAAAACAATTAGCTTAAGAATAACTATCAACTTAAAGAATGAAAATATCAATAAAAAAGCTTGTTAAACTATTTTGCAGAAAAAGGAAACATTCATTTCGTTATTTACATATGTATGACATTTTTTTAACTATACTTGTACCGTGCGCCAAAAAAAAAAGGACTACCCCGAATAACTTTTGATCTAATGATCGGATCTTCACGAACTAAAACTCAATCTTCATAGCTTGAGAGTGTGATCTCAAATATGCTAATTAGTAAATGCAGACAATGTTTTAACTTGTGAAATAAAAACAAAAACTTACTTTCTCTGAATAAACATACTTTTTTGTCGACAGATTCGGTTTTCTGATCCCCAAAATATAAAGTGTAGCCGCAATCTGAGAATTATTGTCCCAATAGTTTGGTCAGGAGAGGGTGTCTTAAGTTTGGACCCCTTAATGCAAATTTTACCTTATGCGTTTTCATTATATCTCAAGAACTTATTAAACAAATTGAAATCGACCCATTTACACCATCTCTGTTTACTCATATTTCCCATTGTTCTCAAAATAAAAGCGTAAGTGAACAGTTCAACTAAACCGAAAATTCCAGTGACCAGTTGAATTCATTCAATACCTTATACAACCTTTTTATACAACCTCTACACTTGTTTCCACTGTAACGAAATTGGAATTATCTGGTTCAGATAGAATCAAATGGTATTCTTTGTCTGTACAAGGTATACATGATTCACATTACTTTCTATGAGAAGTGGAGAAAGAGAGAAAATGTGAGAAGCAAGGGTTACCAATTATTTCTTTTATATTATATTACAATGGATTTTGTTAGGGTTTTTTTTTAAATACCTTTTTTTTTAAAAAAATTTTACAAATTATTTTCTCCTACCTAAAATAATAATCAAAATTACACAAAAGAAAAAAATTAATCAATTTTCAAAGAAATGGAAGCTTTGTGTTTCCGATCAAAAGTTCGAAAATGGGTCTGAAATTTAAAAATCTTCTGTCCAAATCGGAAGAGCTGGCAGGTATGTGGTACCATAAGAATTTTTTCTCTTAGCTAAATTATTTCGCACCTACAGTCTGGAATATTTGTTGGCAAAGTAGACAGACTATTATACCATTTTCTCATCAAATTAAAACTAATAAAAATAATAAACAATGATGTTTTAATCAAAAATACAAAAAATTCATATTTTTTTCATAATTTTTTTCTTTTTTTATTAAACTGTTTTAATAAACATCCACTAGCATTTTGGTAGTAAAATGTTTAAATTAAACTTGTAGAAATACTTTATAATAATATTACGGAATTATACAAATAAATAATACAAACCTTTTTAGTTTTTAATAACTTGAGCATATCTAATGATGTTTTGATATCAGGAATTTGTTTCTTTAGGCTAGAAAGAAAAATGTATAATTCACATAGAAACCTCCCAAATAAATTTTTGAAGAAGATAATTATAAAAACATTAACTTCATATTCTGGACAAGACTGAAATTTAAGATGCTCTACACTAAAGACAGTAGTTGTACGAGCTATATGCATGAAAGTTAAAATATCACATCTCAGGTTGCTATTTTTTACTATAAGGTTTCAATAAAAAATAATGTGTTAAAATTTTAAATACTAGTTCATTTATTTTTAAAAGACAGTGTACTCTATACTGTCAAGCATAATTTTTTATGAAAATTTTGATCCTTTCAAAAAAATACTTTTGAGGGCAGAATTCTTTCACAGTGTCAAAAAATAGTAAGGCATTACTCATACATAAAAGGATTAATTTATTTTTATAAATTCAAATTTATAAAATTTCATTCACAACAATTTCGATTGTTTTTTTTTTACAAATTTTTCGAAATTGATACATATAAACATTTTTGAGACTTAAACAAAAAGATAAAATTTGAAACAGGGTACTTAGTCAAATTATTCAACAAAAAATAAGCACTTTTCATGCACTCAAATAATATTTTTAAGCACTTTAAAAAAATATCATAATTAGATAGGGTTGGAAAGTTTTTGACAATTAACGGTTTTATCTGGTTTTAACCGTCATGTCAAAAAAAAAAACAATTTCGGCATTGTTTTTGACAATCGTCAAAATTTTTTGAATCATGTCAATCGAATGGCGTTTTCAACGGACTGACGATACACCGAAATAGATTGGGGATGAATTAATTGTGAAAACATTGAATAGAACATTGTGAACAGTGTCTTTCTGCATAATTAGTAGCGAAAATCAACATGGTAAAGGAAAAATTTCATTTTGGAAAAGGGAAAATTAAGCACTTTTTAAAAACACTCAATGGTAAAAGCAACTTTAAGGGCTTTTAAAAAACGAAAATAAGCACCTTTAAGCACTTTTTAAAAACGCTATGCACCCTGTTGAAAGAATATTTCTTCTGTTGCAGTTCCCTGAAATAATTTTGCAGGGGATAGTTTTGACAATTTTGATTCATTCATTTTAACAGGCATTTTAAGCAAAATTTGCAATTTTTAGATCTTAAAACAAACAAAACACAAAAAGTTTTAAAAATAATAATAATTTTTAGAAAAATAACTTACATTCTTTTCTTCCTCATAAGATTCATTTCCATAAACTTATATTTACTATGCTGCTCATCTAATTGCCTCAAAACTAATTCAGCATTTTCTTGGTTTTCATCACCTTTCATAAAACTATCAACATCTTCCTACAAATAATTTAAGAGTAAGAAATACAGCAAGATTGGGAAGGAAAAAAAGTCAAAACATCAAAAACTGATCTTTTAAATACATACATACCACAAAACTATTATTTAACACTAAAGAAGCATGGCATTAAAAAAAAAATAGAATGATAAATATCTTGATATTACTCACTTATAAAATGTTTACAATATTTTTTTCTTCGAAACGTGTATAAATTATACCAACATTCCCTGTGCAGAATTTTTTCAAGCTATCTGGGACAAAAATCCCTACGACTAATGTCTTTCTGCAAGATACTTTTAATAATAACAAACATATTTGTTACTAATTTAAAATAACAAAAGCGTCATGTTTACAAAAAAAAGAAAGAAAAACTATTATATTTTTTAATTAAACATGTAATTAATTTTTATTCTAATATGGTGATATTCTAGCATTTTTTGGAGGGGTGGGGAGTGGGGAACGAACTAATTATTTTCCTTGTTGCATTTTGTAAATAATCATCACAGTAAAAAAATTTATTAAAATCATGAAATCACAATCCGAAAAAAAGATCTCATCCGAATCGGACTCCTCAAATGCATGTTTCGTTTCCAGATTAGGTTGTAATAAATAATATTGTAAATAAAATATCGGATTTAATATCTATGGAGAAAATCAATAGAAATAACTGCTAAAAATTTGATAGTATTACTGCCTTAAAAAGTAAATACTCAAATGTACGGTCCGAATTTTTCATATTGTTTGAATTATATTCAAACAATATGAAAAATTTCATATTGTTTCAAACCATATGAAAATTAATATCAATAATTGCGGAAATTTCAATCGAAACATTACATTGATTTACGATATTATCTGCGTAAATTGAGCGTGTCAAAAAGTGATTATCTAATCGTATAATTCAAATATTACGTGGAATTTACGAGAAAACTAAAAGTTTGTCTTTTTCAAACGAAAAATTTTTCTGCAAGAACTCTGTAATGTTCTGCGACAATGTTGCCGTGTTGCTGTGATTCTGCCACGGGGCCTACATTTAATCATCATTTCAACAGATCCAAAGCAATAAAAATTTCTCTCTACCCTCATAATGAATCTTTTCACATATAAAAAATTTACTTCTTAATACATAATGCAGTGCAGTCAGAATTCCTAGGCTCTATTCAAAACGAAACAACACACCTCTAAATAAAAATTATTCTCTAATTTATGACATACTAAGATCCTGAGCATCCTTTCAAAATTAATGCCAACATTATCAATTTATCTGAGCAATGTAGACAAATGGAAAAATTATTCGGGCATTTCTTTAATAGGGAAAAACACCAGAGTAGTGGATTCCGGATGAATTTAAACTTGGCACTTGCACATAAAATAAATATTGATTAAGATTTTTCACATGCACATCGTTTCAAAGCTAATATAAAAATCCTCTATTAACCAAAACAAAGGAGCCAATTTCTTAATCTAAAAACAAAAGAGCAGTAAAATCTGGACAAATTTATACTGAGAAATGACAGTTAAACTTAAAAAGAAAAGATAAAGTTGAAATCTTTATCTTTTCTTTTTAAGTTTAACTGCTTCTGATTCTCCGAACTTTTCTTTTTAAGTTACATCCACTCTCCTGATCATTACATCACACTTCTACATTTAGAAGCACAATTCAAATCCCACACTGGTCATTTTTATGGTCAACATTTGCGAGGAAAAAAATTCCGAAAAATGGGTGAAAAAGTTTAACATATCAGTACTACATCAATTTCTAATTTAACTTTTCTTTGTAAATAATTTTAATTTAAAGTTACAACGAAAATGTATAAATGTGCTGTTTTAATCTTGGCAACAACTTTCAAATTCATAAAAATTGTACTTCATATCAAGATTTAACTTTAATTTACTTTGATCATTTCATTTTTAGAAGAATATAAGACCAGTAAGTAATCAAAAATTTGTTAAAAATTAGATATTAATGGAGAAATAAGAGTAAGAAAATTGTAACGAAAATTTATTTTTTCTTTCTTTGATTTATATTTTATTTTTCCTTTAATTTTCTATTCTGTATATCAGATTTNAAAAAAAAAAAAAAAAAAAAAAGTAACTTTAATTTTTTTTAAATATTCAAGGAGGTAATTACAGTCTAATATTTTTTACCTAAAATTTTCTTACACATTATATATACATATATTTTAAACTGTTAGCCATAAACAAAGTTAGAATTGAAACTATAAAGTGGAAAATGTTGATACAGATTTTTCAGATTGTTTAAGAATTTATGTATACAGGGGTCTGTCAATGTTTTTCTGAGAGGTACCTATTTTGTGAAAATTTGACATAATTTGTGAAACTTAAAAATTATATTAAAAAATCAACACAAAAATATGGTAAAAATATTGTTATTATGATTTATCGTTTTTTACGGTATACAAGAATAAAATTTTAAGAAAAAGTATTTTGTGAAACTATGTACTATTTTCCCTTAAGTTGAATTTGTGAAGGTACCGTTAAACAGCAGTAAATTTGGCCTGGTCAGATCCTGGTATAATTAAATATTATACAAGAATTAAATAGAAAATAATATATATGCATTAACATAAACACTCTAACATAAATAATCTGCCTTAATACTAATAATCTATATCTAGCATTGCAAACTAACACACACAAGTTCAATAAACTTAACTTTTTCTCCCGATTATTTCTATATTAATACCTCTTTGTAAAATTGACTAAGGTCATGGCAAAAAAATAATTTTAAATTTTTTTTATATAAAAATCATTCCAAGATGTTTTTTTTTTGTTTTGTTTTTTAATGTGCCAACTGTAACTGTAATTAAAAATTCAAATTCTAATAAGACTATCTAACTGAATTACCATTGGTTCAAATATTCTATCCAAGTTAGAAATATAGGGTGATTATAAAGTGGACCCAGTCATTCTAGGCAGGGTAAACAGGGTGCAGCACCCTGCTGCCCTTTTAGTCAAAAGAATCCACCCTGTTGTCCCTGAAGTAAATTAGTGCCCTGATGCTAGACTCCATACACTTTTTGCCCTTTCTTTCCTCAACCCTTCCTTATTTTCAACTCTTTTTATTTAGTTTGTCATTGCTGTCAATACATAGATTTATATGGGAAAGGAAAAATAGCCATCACAACCCCTTGTTGCACTTGTCTTTGAAGGTTTGCAGTAACTTTTAATTAATCTTTAAGTAACTTTTCATTAAATCATAATTATTAATAATCATTTTAACTATTAAATCATAACTACAGACACTTAAAAACATACATTTATTATTTTATTAATATATGCATGCATTTTAATAAATTACTAAGCTAATTAGTTCATTAACTCGATATATATATGTCAATTTATTAATACAAATTAGTAATTAATATGATTGCTTTGGTACTTTTAGAAAACGTTAAAAAAAATTGACAATGTCTCTTAATAAAATGTGTAAAGCCCGTAGAAATAAATTATTGCCTTTTCAGAATAATAATGCCCTTTTTTTTTAAACTTTTGCACCCTGCCCTTTTTTCTGCCTAGAATGAGCTCTGGGATCCAAATATGACATGCAAAATAAATAAGTTAGCGAGGTTCTATTCAATTACTAGTAATGATCAAAGAAGTAAATAACATTTTTGGCATAGAACTTTTATTAACAAACAAAATTAAGAAAATTTACTAATAAAAAAAAAACAGAAAAAAAGCAAATATCCTGCAAAAAACGAGAAGGAAAAATTCCAATATCGGTTATCCGCGTAAGAAATCTGTTTCGGTGACAACCGGGCAGTGGCACAAAACTAAGAAAAAGGATCACAGAAAGAGACAAATTCGTAAGATATGAGTCAGAGCCACTACATATTTGATCTTAATTTTTTGCGAGGGCACAAAACCTTGGGCACCTTGGCGATTGTAGTTGACATGAACAGGTACCGGTATAGAAATATCCCAAATATCAAAAATTTAAATTAGTTTAAAATGAAAATAATATTTCATTAGCACATGCCGAAAGAACAATTTTAATAGTCTCTATGGAGAACACGTTTTAACGATTTCAAAATATCTATAAATGCTCAGAGTATCAAACTTGATGACACAGTAGACTTAAAAATTTTTTAAATAGATGAGTTAGCGGTACAACTAGAAAATTAGTATATATTTATAAATCATAATTAACTCACGACAAACACTGCAGCTGGGATTCCAAGGCTATTTTTGGGTGCGTCTGCTTTACCAGTTTCCTTAGTTGAAGTCATACTTGTGATTATTCTATAAATAAGTTACAGTGTTCTTGTTTTAAAAACAAGATTTTCAATTAATAATAATAGTGTAGAGTAAAAGGGAAATGTGTCGTAAATTGAAGACTTTTCTAGGGAAAAAAAAGACAACAGAAACTTCTTGCTAAGGAAAGCTTCTGACTTTCCATTTCTGCATTTTTAATATTCCGCCCCTTAGATGTCGGCTTTTCTTTTACCTCAATAGGAGAAAATGGACCGTTTTCACTGACAAAACTTCACAGAAGTAATTTTAGTAGTTGTAGTTGTTCATTTACGTTGCACTAGAGCAGCACAATGGGCTATTGGCGACGGTCTGGGAAACATCCCTGAGGATGATCCGAAGACATGCTATCTCAATTTTGATCCTCTGCAGAGGGGAGGTAGCCCGACGACCTGCACGTGAAGTCGAGCACTTTACGGTAGAACAGTTTAACGAGGACCAATACCGCACACCCTCGGTCCCTACGCAAGCTGATCCAAGTGGTCGCCCACCCGTACACTGACGGTAGCCAGTGATGCTTGACTTCGGTGATCTGCTGAGAACCATGTCTTAACAATCAGTTCACTGCGGGACACAGAAGTAATTTTAAAGATGCGATAGAGAAAATGATGCATTGTTTTTTATTTCTGTTATTTATGCACTGTTGTCCCGCAGTGGACTGACCGCAAAGACACGGTTCCCAGTAGAACACCGAATTCATACATCACTGGCTGAGGTCAGTAAGCGGTTGAGTGACCACTTTGATCAGCCTGTGTAGCAACCGTGAGTGTGCGGTATCGGTCCTCGTTAAACTGTAACGTATTCAGCTTCACACGCAGGTCGTTGGGTTACCAAAGCAGGAAGCCATCTCCTCTGCAGAGGATTCAAGTTGCGATGGCGTGTCTTCGGATCATCCTCAGGGATGTTTCCCAGACCGCTACCCCCTCGCAATGTGAGGGAATTGCAGGACCAGTTGGTGAGCGCTTGGTACCAAGGGTGTGGTATCGGTCCTCGTTAAGCTGTTCTCCCGTAAAGTGCTCAACTTCGTGCGCAGGTCGTCGGCCTACCAAAGCATGGGAGCCATCCTCTCTGCAGAGGCGATGGCATGTCTTTGGATCATCCTCAGGGATATTTTCCAAACCGTCGGCAATATCCCATTTTGCAGCTCTAATGCGACTTAAATAAAGTACCTACCACATGCACTGTTATTTATTTTCAATCCTAACATTTTAGAAATTCTCTCCTGAAACTGAAAACCTGATCCCCCACCCCAAATGATTATTTAGTTATGAAACATTTAAAGTGCCTAAAAAGACCTCCGTAAGTAACGCAATCAAAAACGATCCCTTATTTTTTATTACGTCACGCGTGCTGAATGGACACTTGCCGCCTTCATCCACTAAGGCTATTCCAATGCTCTTTTAATTTTGATATCACTTAAGTCGTATGAAGATCGTTTGTAAATTAAAAGTAAAAGTTTTGAGAGTTAGTGCAAAATTAAAGAAAGATTTTAAAGAGTCTAACTGTTCATTTATCACTAAAATATCTGAAGAATTGATTGTGCAGCTCTTCACAGGGAATCAACATTTCTTCTAGTGAATCAACAACAACTGAAATCAGTGGTGTTAAAGTTCATAGGAAATATTTTTTTATTCCACTTATTTTTAAGTTAAAATAATGATCCATTACAGCCTAATTTAAAATCAGTCGTAGATTGGATAGAAATAGAATACATTTAGATACAGGATTGATCATTTTATTATTCTATGTTGCATTAAAACAAATCAGTATTTTCAAAAATCTAGTGCATTGAAAAATATCAATTCATCATCGTTACAATCTATGTGCTAATATTCAAAAATTCAAGTAATAAAATTAAATTTTGCTTCCTTTTTTATTTATTTATTTTTACTAGAGTAGGATTTTCTTTTTAAGTAAATATATACTGGTGCAGTTTATGTCTCCTTTTTTTTAAACTATGTATTATATATTTAAATACGCATTAAAGTTGTATTTATTATTCTATGAATAAATGGGAATTTCGGCACAGTTAGAAATTATTTTTATTTTTAAATTTATAAATTATAATTCTAGTTTCTGCAATATAGTATATGCAAAATATGATTATTGTTAATTTCTCTCCTTATTTTTGCAAACTATTTGCCAGTGCTTGCAAAATAGTAAAATTAATACATTATACATTTTTATCTAAAAAATTAATTAAACTATTTGAAAAAATAACTGGTTAAGCATTCAGTATCACTGACAGTGAATCAACACTTTCAAGAATTCATTCTATAGAATAGATTCTTGAAAGTGTTGATTCACTTCAATATATTGAAATATATCTGTCCATCATCATCGGCAAAATCTACTTAAAATTTCACTTAATGTTATTTAACTTATCCACATAATTTTAGCGAATATCATTACGCTAGACGTTTTTGTTTCACCAAAGCTAAAGAGTAATGATAAAAAATAAACTTATACAAGAAGAAAAGAAATTCTAGTGCACATTCTTTATTATTTATAAAATAATTTAAAATAATAGATACTAATGTTGATATTTTTCTCAATATTTTTATTCCTTGAGTAAATGGGAACTTTGTTATGATGAAAAAATATTTTTATATTAAATTTTTTTTTAATAATTTTATAACTGTCGTTGGACAGCCGACCTAATTTTGGATTTACAACTACTAATGCTTAACTCCATAGCCTTGTAATTTTGAACCAATCCAGAAGACAAGGAAACTTCTGGGTCAGTACCCCAGATTTGTTTTGGTAACATGGAGGACTTTGCGACTCGACAGATTTAACGTGCATCAGTTACCGTTACCATTTACTATACGGGGAATCTTCGGCAAGAATTCGAACCTACGAATTCCAGAACATAGGCCCAGTGCTCTACAAACTAGGCTATCCCGGCCTTTTTTATAATCATTTATAAATCATTTTTTTCAAAGAATTTTTTTTTCTTGCTGGGATCATAAGTTTTTTTTAAAAGGCTGCTGCTATGCTGAAGACAATTCCCAGCTTTGAATTCACACTAGAATAAATAAATAAAAAATATCAATAACTTAAGCTTTCCTACATTTCAAAATCTAAAACTATTTTACATAAAATATTGATTCAACATTTCTTTCACTTAACACAAAAATAAATCTTCGAAATGAATTAGAAATATACTTTAAAATAAAGATTAATATGGTTAAAAAATAATTTTGCATTTATAATTTTTATAATAATTAATTTAATAAGTAATACCAGACATACATAACTCATTCTAACACTTTTTTTATAGAACTAAAAAATCTTAAATATTCAGAGCTAGAAAATTTCGTCAACTGTTAACAATGTTCTAGAGCAGGGGTGGCGAACCTTTATACACAACGTGCCATTTTTTCTAAAAAATTGTTTAATGAAGTCACAGACGTGCCGTCAAATAATTTTGACTTCATGATTATTGGGAAAATCGTAATACTAAATACTATCAACTCAAAACTCTTTATTTACATTGAAAAAAAAATACATTTTGCAATGTCTCAGTTATAGGCGTAATTCAACTTAAAACAACATCAGTGGGATTTCTGTTGTTGCAGATTAGATGGCAAATAACTTATATTAGGTTGTAAGATATTAGTTTAAGCAGGGCTGTTGATTTCTTTTTTGCCAGTTGTTTATTGTTAGCTTGCTTTTTATGGTTATTAATTGCTTTTTTAGCATTAATTGTAAATTTTTTTGTTAATAATTGTTTATTATTTTGTTTGTTTTTTGTGAGTTTTAATTTGATTGTTACATATGCTTCATAGTGTTAACATTTGTGTAATAACAATTCATAGTGCAATAACAATTGTGATCGGTGGCGTGCCCAAAATATTGTGTCGCGTGCCATAAATGGCACGCGTGCCATTGGTTCGCCATCCCTTTTCTAGAGGGTACCATTGAAATTTAACATTATAAAAATACACTCTATCAAACCCACATTTACCTTAAGTGACATTAGGGCCAATTTATTATTTATTGTATTATTGACCATCTAAAATAGTCGGATTTAATTATGAAATTTCAAACAAAAGCAAGAACGTATCGGTTTTCACATTACAGTATTGTAAATGAAAGACAGATGAACACGTGTGACGTCAGTTCGCGAATAATCACGTGACTCTCCGTTTCAGGTGAAAATGAAAGTAAGCATGTTTTGCTTAAAAATGACTAAATAAATTGCACTTTTAGGAAAGTAATAAAATATTTTCAATGAGATTTGAGGGATTAGGAATGCATTAAAATTTTTTAAAAATTTGACTGTAATTGTCCATTTTAACTTGATGGCAATGATAACTTAATCCATGCTACAGGAAAAAAGAATTCACTGATCAGTTTATTGGTTTATTATAATTACATACATTTGCAGGCTTGTATGCTCAATTTAGGCTTACAATCAAACGGCACAAATATAATCAAATAAGGAATAACGCTGAAAACATGACAAACCTTACGCTTTATTTATGTTGTGGTGCAGGTCGTCGGGCTACCGAAGCAGGGGTGCCATCCCCTCTGCAGAGGATCAAAATTGTGATGGCAGGTCTTCGGATCATCCTCAGGGATGTTTCCCAGACCGTCGCCAATAGCCCATTGTGCTGCTCTAGTGCGACGTAAATGAACAACAACAACAGTAATTATTTATGTTGTGATATTAATTTTGTTAAGTTTATTTAAGGCTCACGACGTTTTAGAATTTATAAATTACAGAGCGGGGATAGCCTGGTCGGTAGGGCACTGGGCCCATGTCCGAGAGTTAGCAGGGTTCGAACCCTGCTGCCCGAAGACTCCCCGTGTAGTAAAGCGATTGATGCAAGTTAAATCTGTCGAGTCGCAAAAGTCCTCCATGTTCCCATAACAAGTCAAACCTCTGGGGGTACTGGATTGCAGATCG